CCTTTTACTATAGCTACTGTTGACTACGCCTTAGGCAGCACTGCAATAGGTGCTTTTAGTAGAGGTAGCAGTAGTAGTAATAATAATAATAACTATTAGCTTCTCTATCTTTGCAGCTACTACTTCGCTAATAGTAGTAATAAAAAAAGCTTTTTCTAGACTTATAACCTGCGCTTAGCTAAGAACTATTTTTTTAAGTAGTATAAGTTTTTTTATGCTAATACTTAGTTATAAGCTTATTTTGCGCAATAGAGAGCTAAAAGTAGTAGCAAGTAACTTTTAACTTTATCTGCGCACTAGCCTACTTCTTCTAGCAGCTAGTAGCCTAGGGCATTAATTTTAGCTTTTACTTTTAATTTTCTGCAGTTTACTAAGACGATATTAAGGGCTACTTGTCCCTAGCGTTTATTTGCTTTGCTGGCGCTATTTTAAGTATTTAGCAGCTTTTTAGAATAAGTACTACTTGTAGATACTATAATTCTAATATTAAAGCAGGTAAGATGTGCTTTTCTTTTTATGCTAATAGTCTTTTGCTAACTTTGCTAGTTATCTAATAAGCAGCTGCTAGCAACTAAGTTTACTTTGCTAACAATTGCTATACTTATTGCCTAAGCACTAGGGCTAGCTATACTTTTAATAGCTGCGCGCAATCCTACTATTAAAGCCGCCTTTTTAACTATAGAGCCTGTAATAAGTATGCTTTTAATAGCAATACTGCTTGCTATAGCTTTTATAGTAGGTTTCTAATCCTTATCTAAAGATTTTTTTTGCTAACTTTTAATACTAGATTGCTTTTCTATAGATGCTGTTAGTACTGTTTTTACTTTTGCAGAGATTACTGCTATTTATAGCTAAAGTTATCCTAAGCATTCTAGCTTTCCTAGTCTGCGAGGTCCTTAGGCTTATAGTTGTACTGCAAGCTTAGTATTTATAGATTTAAACAACCTGCGTAGCCTGCGTAGCTTTTGTAGCCTAATTTCTCCTTTTACTTAGTTTAGTAGTTTAAATGCTTTTTGAAGCGGCAGCAGTAAAAGCAAGGGCTGTAGTAATACTTCTAGTTCTTAAATTAGCGGTATTCTTCAGGCCTAGCAAATATAGGCAGATTAGATAATAATAAGCAGTTGGCATAGATTAAGCTGCCTATCCAAAAATTTTTAAAAACTAGTTTTTAGATGTGCTACTGGCACTTAGGGCTTCTATCTTCTTTAATAGCCTACTAATAAATTTTTTCTTTTTTTTCCCTTCCTTTTAATTTTTTCGCAGCTTTTTTAACTTTTTTTTTCTGCTTGCGTAACTTTACTCTAACTTGCTTTTAGTATTTATAATTGCCTCTTTTTTCTTTATTGTCCTAAGAATATTATTTTGTAAAATTTTATTAACAGCTTTTTGGGGCGCATTGTTAGACCTTTAATTTAGAATATATAAACCTATTGGAACATAGCCCTTTAGCAAAAGCTTATTATCTTTGGACAATAAAGTTTTAGTATCTGTAATAGAAAGTATTAGTAGTAGTAGTTTTTTAAGTGCTTGTGGGGTGCTTGGGATTAGCATTACTATCTAAAACTTTTTAGTTTCTGGATACAACTTTAGTTTTCCTGCTAAAATTTTAGCTTTAAGCGTCCTTAGCATTTCTTTAAACTTTTTTAGCCTATTAGCTTAAGTAGTGCTTGCAAATACTACTCTATTCAAATTTTTAAGCTAATAATAGCTTTTATCTGGGTTTGTAGTGCTTATTTAGTAGGGTCCTAGCTACTTCTTAGCAAGCTTTTAATTTAAGCTTTTATTAATAGCTTTTATTGCGTCCTAGATTAATACTAACTTGCCTTCTTGCAAGGCAATTAGCACTTTTCTTTTTTTATTTTAACTTTTAGTTGCTTTTTTACAAAGCTTTTTTGTACAATTAACTGCTTCTTCTAAATTTTCTTACTAGAATTGTAGCTGGGTAGCTCGAACCGCAAGCAAATTAGTATAACTTTCTATTACTAACTATAGTAAACTCTGCTAAGTAGGTACTATAAGTTCTATTAAAAGTATAGAGTTCTGGCTGAGAACTAGTTGCGCAGGAGAATATTTAAAAAAACGTTGCAGCGATACATGCTTGGCTTAAGTAACTGCTGCTAAATTGTTTACCTAAAAGCTAGTTAGCTTTGCTAAAGCATAAATATAGCCTTAATATCCCCTTTTAATAAGGCCTTAAGCTCTTAAATTGTACGCAGAGGCTTGTATGCAGTAAATTCTAAAAAAAGTAGCAAGCGCTTTAACTACTAACTTATTTTTAGTGCTTCTATTAATAGAAAGCTTCTGTAGTACTTTTTACTTACAGCAAATTTCCTTAAAAATAAATTAAACTATAATTTTTAAATTTGCAGTATAAACCGCACAAGCTTTAGGCTATCTTAAAAAATATTTGCGGGCGATTAATAAGTAAGTCTTCTTTTTAACTTTTAGTATAAACGTAATATTAATAGTCTACTACATTTACAATACTTAAGAGTATGTTGTATTAAGCTCTGCTTCCCTTCTAGCTTTTTTAATTAATTAATATTTTTTATAAGGGCCGAGTTGCTTTGCTACTTGCTAATACATTCCTTTCTACTAGTATTGCTAGTTAATTGCTCCAAACGTAGTTTAAATACTCTTGTGTTTTAGTTGCTTATGCATTTTTTAAATTAGCGCTGCTTGCGTTTTGGGCCTATTAAGCACCCTTTGCGCTAGCATTACCTTAGTAGCTTTTTTAAATAAGTACTTTTCTTAGATAAAAAAACAGGTTGCTTTTTTAGTTTAAGCTTAGAGTATTTTGCTTTGTATATAAGTCGGGCGTTTTAGTGTCTAGAGGAAGACTGCTATTTTTTCTAAGTTTTTATTATACTCCTTAACTAAGTATTGTAGTTTAATTAAGCTTTTGGCTATATAAACTTCTTTATACCTTTTTAGAATTTAATTAATAAAGGGCTTTAGGTTGTCTTTATTTTCTAAAAAAAGCTTCTAGTTTTCTGGTTAGGGATACCTTAAAAGTGCATTAAGAATAATATTTTTCTTGCCTAGTACATAGACAATATTAAAGTTTTACTAAAAAATTATTGCAAGCTATTGGTTTATTACAGAGCCAGGAAGGTTTAATAAAAATTAGTTTAATTAAGCAATTAGGACTTTTACATCTGTTTTAACAATAAATTAGTAACTATACAAATAAAACTAAAATGCTTTTAGCGCCCAAACTAGAGCTTTGCACTCTAGCTTTATTAAATACTATTAGAATTCTGCTTCTAACTACAAGGTACTATTGAATCTGATTAAGTATTGCTGTCTATTAGCTCTAACTTGCTTTAGGTGTGCTCCTCTACTAATATTTAAAGTATTTACTCTAAAGTATATTGCTTTTTTTTTGTAGTTTATTACTACTAGCGCAAAAGGTTAAGTAATTGCGCCCTTAATTAACTGCATTGCCTTTTGTTGGCTCTCTCCCCAGCTCTATTTAGTATTTTTTCAAAGTAACTTAAAAAGCGGCTTAGCTTTTAGGGAGAAACAGAAGATCTACTGCTAATAATACACTGCAATTCTAATAAACTGTTAAACTTCCTTTACCATTCGGCATTCGGGCTAGTTTAGTATTTTTAAAACTTTATTATTACTAGGATATTAACCTTGCTAGTCTACTTTATATCTAACTATAATTATTTTTAATACTCCCTACTAAGACTTTATAGCTGATACTGTCGCCTTAGCTTGGGCTATATTAATAAGTATTTAGTTTACTTGCTGTATATGCTTAAAAATAAATTAATAAATCCTATTTAATACTTCCTTATTGTTGTACTTTAACTTTGGGCCAGCTACCTTTATATTATTAATAAAGGGCGCTGTATTTAGGAAGTAGTTTTTAAGGATCTTTATAATAGTGCGAATAAATATAGCAACTAAGTTTATAGCTCTTTGCAGTAAAGTATACTGCCTTATAAGCCTAATTAGAGTCTAGAATGCCGTAATATCTCGGCTGGCTAAGTGTAATTTAATCTAGTTATATCCTAAGAATATATTAAAATATAAATATATTGCCCTTCTAGCAAATCTTTCTAAAAACTTATTAGCAGAAAACGGAATATACGCATCTTTTTTAGTAATAGTATTATATTGCTAGGCATTATTAATTAACTAAAAGTCTGTCGCCTTAGTAGGATTCTTAACTTTAAGCACTAGGAAATATAAATTCCTATACTAGCTATTGCTGCGCTCGAGTATCTCTCAATTTAGCTTTATTCTTATTATATTAATAATAATTAGTTTAAGCTTTCTAAGGCACTAGAAGCCCTTTACTTGCTACGCTTTATAAGGCACAGTTTGAATTTTATACAGTAGCTAGATATTCTAATGTATTGTTAATATATCCTCAAAGTCCCAAGCTAGCGTATTTTCTTGCTAAAATATTAGACTTTAAAATAGTTAAACTTTATTTAGTAGCAGGTTTTCTCTTATATTTATTTTTACTAGCTATTTAGCTGTTAACTGATGCCCCTACAGGAAGCTCGCTGTCTTTTTTCCAAAAATATAGTTATATAAACTTAGGTCTAGGCCCTTTAATAATGCTCTCTTAATATACTGCGCAATAGCTTTTTTTTTCTAATCCTCCCTTCTAAGCTCTATCGGCTAATCTAGTTAAAGTACATTAATAGGCTAAACCTTATTGCCTACTTTTTTGTATAGGGTATTTACTTCCCCTAAACCCTTCCTACTTCTTAATTAGCGCTATTTTTGACTTTTTAGCTCCTCGAAAGACTTTTAAAAGTCTTCCCTTATTTTTTTATGCTTTTTACTAATATCCTTAGTTTTAAAAAAATTTTAATATTTTTAAATTTAGATTCCTAGGCGATCTTCTATTAAGCATACTTTCCTAGTAAGTATATTTTCTACTCTTTTCCTTCCTCGTTAATTGCAATTAAATTAGCTATTAGAGCTAAATCACACCCTATAAACAAAACTTCTTTCTGCCTATTAAGGGACCTAATATAATATATAGTGCAGCTAAAAGTATTAAAGTAGATTTAGAGCCGGGTAGCTAAATACTAAAAAATACTAAGTAGGATTGCTTTTTTCAACTTTCGCACCACCCAAAAATGCGTTAGGATTAGTATCCTACTAACTATAATTAGCATTTTATATATAGTACTAATAAAAGGGTCTACGCTTTTATCTGCAGTAATTATTCCTTACTAAAGCTTAATTAGTAGCCTTTTTTAATTAAGTTTAGTAATATATATATTAAAAGCTTTTGCAGTAGATAGTCTTATTATATTTAGCTACAAGCCTGTGTTGATTAGGGCTTAACTTATGCCTCTATATAAAAATATCCAATACGTAGGGAGCTGACTTTTGATTAATAGCCTCTAGTATTAGCTTTTAATTTTTAGTTAAAAGTTAGATAGTAGCTGCAACTGTTCTTTAATATATTTATTTTCTTTATCCTCTACTTTATAATTCTAAAAGTTATGAATTTTATTTGCTTTTTTAGTACTCTTTAATAGCTTTTGCTATTTACAACTAAGCTTTAGGCATAGCTATTTAAGTATTTTTCTAGTAATTACTTTTTTAAATTTTTTTCTACTCTTAATTGCAAAGGTCTTTCCTAAGCTTAATCTCTAGTTAAACATTTTCTAAAAACTCTTCCTTATTAACTCTTCTTTTTTAATATTTATAGTTTCCCCTGAACTACGCCTAGGAGTTTGGAATCTAATAATAGGTTTTTGCAAATCTTTAATAGCCTTGCTAATAGCTACTGCTATAGCTAGGGTAGCTAGTAGATCTACTTATTAAAGTTCTCTTACTTCCTAATTAAGTATTGCCTGGGCTATTACGTTTAAAAACGTATTCTGCGCTATAGTTGCTAAGTCTTTAGCAGTTAGTATCTAAATCTGCTGCGATTTCTTCTGTGCCTTTATTGCAGGCAGTAGAAAAATTTCTAGGCCTATAGTTGCACTCTAACTATCCCTTATAGTTAGTAGAGTTATATTCGCTCTGAGGCGTTCTTGCAATAGGTTTACCTAAGTATCCTCTATCTGTACTTTAAGTACTTCTATAATAAGCCTATATTAAAAGAGTTTATTTTCTAAATCCTCTTTGACTAACGGGAGAATTTAGTTATATAACTTATTGCTTTTTATCTTTAGAGCTATAACTACTATAGGCTTCTTTTTAGTAACCTGATTATTTTTCTAATGCTGCTCTACTGCAGTTTTTTGAATTTTTTTATTTTTTGTTTTTACTGCGTATGAACCGGGCTCGGTGTTGTATACTTTTTTAGTTTATAATACTATTTTTAGAAATATTGCAGCTTCTTAAAGTGCTATTGTCTGCTAAGCTAGCGCACTTCTATTATTATCTACTTTAATATTGTAGCTTTCCCCACTAGCTAAAAAGTAGGTAACTTTAATTGCTTTTCTATTAGCTCTAAACTAGCTCAGAAAAACAAACCTAATAGGCCTTTTTAGCTGCTTATTAGTAACCTAGAATTAGTTTTTTAGCAACTATAGTACTTACTGCAATATTTTGCTGTTAAAAGCTTTTGGAGTAAACCCTTTACTTAGGAAAATGCCCTATATATTAGTTAGATAAAGTCTAAAATAGTATTTAGCCTGGGCCTAGCTACCTAGTGTCTTTTTAGATTTAGTATAAAACTACTAATTCTTTTTTAGTAATTCTAAATTAGGGTAATTTGCTATTATATGTCCCTTTTTTTTATAGTAGTAACACCTTATTATAGTCTGCTCTCTGCTTCCTACTATTACAACTCCAGCTTAGGGATTGACTATAGGTAAGTAGATAAACTAAAAGCTTCTATTATTCTTCTTAAAAGGCCCTTGCAATTTTTACTATAGTTTAAGCACTAGCTATTTATAAGCTTTTGTATAATTCTTGCTTAATACTAATACTTTTTTTATATTTAGATTATTATTTGCAAAGAAGTTAAACTTATTTATAGTAAGCATTAGCCCTTTAAAGCCCTAAATAAAATTAGCTATAGCAGGATTAATTCTTGCTCTAATTGGCTTTGCGGGTATAGGCAAGTAGAGAATGCCTGGTATAGTAGCCTTTAAAGCTACTTTAATTAGAGGCATTAGTTTTTCTAGAATCTTTGCATCCTTTTAGGCTAGCACCCTGTTTACTGCGCTGTAATTAGTAGTAAGAGTATTTAGTCCTTCCTCCTGCTCTTAGTGCTCCTGAACAAACTTGTAAATTTTCTTAATTTTAAAAGTTAATATATTTTTGAACTAAGGACGATCCTCCTTTAATATATAGTGTATTACCCTATCTATATTCTTTTAGGCTAGTCTTTAGAAGAAGAAATAGCCCTTTTTAATTTCTGCAACCTGTCCTTAGAGCTAAGCTGCTAAAAAGTATATAATAAAGTTCTAATAGTACTTAATAATTTTAACTATAGGCTGGCGCTTCTAAACCTTGCTTACATAACTCTTAATAAAGGCTTAGGTACTTTTTTTTTAGCTTTTATTTTAGCCTGTATAAAGACTCTGCAATTCCTGCTAGTATTTAGCCTAGCTCTTCTCCTTATTTTTATAACTTGGAAGCTTTTAGATAAATGCTTTATATTAGGTTTTATAGAAGTATAGAAGCTGTATTTTCTAAGTACTCTTGCTCTATAACACCTAATTAGCCTCAAAGTTGTATTCCTCTAGAAACTCTATAATATTATGCCTTTTAAACTTTAGCGCATTTATATTAGTGGGCTTAAACTAGCCTTTATACTTAAAACTTATTTCCTGCAAAAAATGCAACGGAGTATTAGTACTAACTATATTATTTGCTTTAAACAATTAACTCGCTTTAAGTTGTTAGGGGTTTTAATAATATATTAGTAATAAAATAAACTTTACTATCTTATCTTTTAAATGTAGATTGTAATTGTAATTTTAGCTTTGCGCAAAATGCTTAAGTAAATTAAAGTAATTGCTAATAGCTTCTTAAATAGGACCGCCTTGAATTTTTATAATAGTAGTATTTCTTACTTCCTACTTAAGTAAAGTATTTCTTTTATACTGTATGCTAATTACTGCCTTAAATAATAAGCCGCCTTAGCTAGGAGCGTTAACTAATACTTATTTAGGAATTAGCTTTGCAAAAAATGCTTCCTAGATTTCTTTTTAAAGTATAGTTGTAAGTAAGTTGCTATAGGCCTTTTATAGGAACTTGCTCTGCTTTTGCCGCATAGAAAGCTTTTAAATAAGAGGTAACTACTTTAGCTACTACTTTAATAAGTTTTTGGGGTTAGCTTAATGCCTAATTCTACTTAATTTTAGGTACTAATAACTTCGCGCTAAAGTTCTCCTGCTTTAGGATTTTTTAGTTTCTTTATAAATTTATCTTTTTTTTCTGTTCTACTAACAGACTGTTGTGCGCCCTTTAGTTAGGTTACTAAAAATATAGCATACTACAATGCGCATTTAAATAGAGGAGGCAGGCGTTAACTTGTAGTTAGTAGGACGTGCAATTTGTATTTCTAGTATTCTATTGTAAGCTAGTATTAGTGCTTCCCTCCTTCCTTACTTATCTAAACTACAATACAGCCTTGCTGCTAAGGATATCTATTACGTGCCAACTTACTACACTACACTATTAGCTTTTCTATTTTTATAGCTACTACTTTGCTAATAGTAGTAATAAAAAATTTTTTTTTTAAACTTATAATATATATTTAGCTAAAAACTATTTTTTTAAATAGTATAAGTCTTTTTATGCTAATACTTAGTTATAAACTTATTTTTTATAATAAAAAGCTAAAAGTAGCAGCAAGTAATCTTTAATTTTATTTATATACTAGCCTACTTTTTTTAGCAGCTAGCAGCTTAAGGCATTAATTTTAGCTTTTACTTTTAATTTTTTATAATTTACTAAAATAATATTAAAGGCTATTTATTTTTAGCGTTTATTTACTTTGCTAGTACTATTTTAAGTATTTAGTAGCTTTTTAAAATAAGTACTACTTATAAATACTATAATTCTAATATTAAAGTAGGTAAAATATGCTTTCCTTTTTATACTAATAGTTTTTTGCTAATTTTGCTAATTATTTAATAAATAGTTGCTAGTAATTAAGTTTACTTTATTAATAATTACTATACTTATTACTTAAGTACTAGGGCTAGTTATACTTTTAATAGCTGCGCGTAATTTTACTATTAAAGCTGCTTTTTTAATTATAAAGCCTGTAATAAGTATGCTTTTAATAGCAATACTACTTACTATAATTTTTATAGTAAGTTTTTAATTTTTACTTAAAAATTCTTTTTGCTAACTTTTAATACTAAATTGCTTTTTTATAAATACTGTTAGTACTGCTTCTACTTTTGCAGAAATTACTACTATTTATAGCTAAAGTTATTTTAAGCATCCTAGCTTTCTTAATTTGCAAAGTTTTTAAGCTTATAATTATACTATAAGCTTAGTATTTATAAATTTAAATAATTTATATAGCCTGCATAGCTTTTATAGCTTAATTTTTTTTTTTGTTTAATTTAGTAGTTTAAACGCTCCTTAAAGCGGCGGTAGTAAAAGTAAAAATTATAATAATATTTTTAATTTTTAAGTTAGTAGTGTTTTTTAGGCCTAGCAAATATAAGCAGATTAAATAATAATAGGCAGTTAGTATAGATTAAGCTGCCTATCTAAAAGTTTTTAAAAACTAGTTTTTAGATATACTGCTAGCATTTAAGGCTTTTATTTTTTTTAATAGTTTACTAATAAATTTTTTTTTTTTTTTTTTTTTTTTTTAATTTTTTTATAGTTTTTTTAACTTTTTTCTTCTGCTTGCGTAATTTTACTTTAACTTGCTTTTAGTATTTACAATTGCTTTTTTTTTCCTTATTATTTTAAGAATATTATTTTATAAAATTTTATTAATAGTTTTTTAGGGCGCATTATTAAACCTTTAATTTAGAATATATAAATTTATTAAAATATAGCTTTTTAGCAAAAGCTTGTTATCTTTAGACAATAAAGTTTTAGTATTTATAATAAAAAGTATTAGTAGTAGTAGTTTTTTAAGTGCTTATAAAGTGCTTAAAATTAGCATTACTATTTAAAACTTTTTAATTTTTAAATATAATTTTAGTTTTTTTACTAAAATCTTAGCTTTAAGCGTTTTTAGCATTTTTTTAAACTTTTTTAGCTTATTAGCTTAAGTAGTGCTTATAAATACTACTTTATTTAGATTTTTAAGCTAATAATAGCTTTTATCTAAGTTTGCAGTACTTATTTAGTAAAGTTCTAGCTACTTTTTAGTAAGCTTTTAATTTAAGCTTTTATTAATAATTTTTATTATATTTTAAATTAATACTAACTTGCTTTTTTGCAAGGCAATTAGCACTTTTTTTTTTTTATTTTAATTTTTAATTACTTTTCTGTAAAGCTTTTTTATATAATTAACTACTTTTTTTAAGTTTTTTTACTAAAATTATAGCTAGGTAGCTTAAACTGCAAGCAAATTAGTATAACTTTTTATTGCTAATTATAGTAGATTCTACTAAGTAAGTACTACAAGTTCTATTAGAAATATAAAGTTTTAGCTAAAAACTAGTTGCGTAAGAAAATATTTAAAAAAATATTACAGTAATATATGCTTAGCTTAAGTAACTACTACTAAATTATTTATTTAAAAGCTAGTTAGCTTTACTAAAGCATAAATATAGCTTTAATATTTTTTTTTAATAAAGCTTTAAGCTTTTAAATTATATGCAAAAGCTTATATGCAGTAAATTCTAAAAAAAATAGCAAATACTTTAATTATTAACTTATTTTTAGTACTTTTATTAATAAAAAGCTTTTATAGTACTTTTTACCTACAGCAGATTTTTTTAAAAATAAATTAGGCTATAATTTTTAAATTTGTAATATAAACTGTACAAGCTTTAAGCTATCCTAAAAAGTATTTACAGGCAATTAATAAGTAAGTTTTTTTTTTAACTTTTAGTATAAATATAATATTAATAGTTTACTATATTTATAATACTTAAAAGTATATTATATTAAGCTCTGCTTCTTTTTTAATTTTTCTAATTAACTAACATTTTTTATAAGGGCTGAGTTGCTTTACTATTTACTAATATATTTTTTTTTACTAGTATTATTAGTTAATTGCTTTAAATATAGTCTAAATACTTTTATATTTTAATTATTTATATATTTTTTAAATTAGCGCTGCTTGCGTTTTAGGCCTATTAAGTACCCTTTATACTAGCATTGCCTTAGTAGCTTTTTTAAATAAGTACTTTTTTTAAATAAAAAAGCAGGTTACTTTTTTAATTTAAGCTTAGAGCATTTTGCCTTGTATATAAGTTAGGCGTTCTAGTATTTAAAAAAAAACTGCTATTTTTTCTAAGTTTTTATTATACTTTTTAACTAAGTATTATAGTTTAACTAAGCTTTTAGCTATATAAACTTTTTTATACTTTTTTAGAATTTAATTAATAAAAAGCTCTAAGTTGTTTTTATTTTTTAAAAGGGGCTTTTAGTTTTTTAGTTAAAAATACTTTAAAAGTATATTAAAAATAATATTTTTTTTGCCTAGTATATAAATAATATTAAAATTCTACTAAAAAATTATTGTAAGCTATTAGTTTATTACAAAATTAAAAAAGTTTAATAAAAATTAATTTAATTAAGCAATTAGAACTTTCGCATTTATTTTAATAATAAATTAGTAGCTATATAAATAAGACTAAAATACTTTTAGCGCCTAAACTAAAGCTTTATACTCTAGCTTTATTAAATACTATTAAAATTCTGCTTTTAACTATAAAGTACTATTAAATTTAATTAAGTATTGCTGTTTATTAGCTCTAATTTGCTCTAAGTGCACTCTTCTACTAATATTTAAAATATTTATTCTAAAGTATATTGCTCTTTTTTTATAGTTTATCGCTACTAGCGCAGAAAATTAAGTAATTGCACTTTTAATTAACTACATTGCTTTTTATTAGCTCTTTCCCTAGCTCTATTTAGCATTTTTTTAAAGTAACTTAAAAAGTAGTTTAGCTTTTAAAAAAAAATAAAAAATTTACTACTAATAATATACTATAATTCTAACAAACTATTAAACTTCTTTTACTATTTAGCATTTAGGCTAGTTTAGTATTTTTAAAACTTTATTATTACTAAAATATTAACTTTGCTAGTCTACTTTATATTTAACTATAATTATTTTTAATATTCCTTACTAAAATTTTATAGCTAATACTGTTGCCTTAGCTTAAGCTATATTAATAAGTATTTAGTCTATTTATTATATATACTTAAAAATAAATTAATAAATTTTATTTAATACTTTTTTATTATTATACTTTAACTTTAGGCTAGCTACTCTTATATTATTAATAAAAGGCGCTGTATCTAAGAAATAGTCCTTAAAAATCTTTATAATAGTATAAATAAATATAGCAACTAAATTTGTAGTTTTTTGCAGTAAAATGCACTACTTTATAAGCTTAATTAGAATTTAAAATACTGTAATATCTTAGCTAGCTAAGTATAATTTAATTTAGTTATATTTTAAAAATAAGTTAAAATATAAATATATTGCCCTTCTAGCAAATTTTTTTAAAAATTTATTAGCAAAAAATAGAATATATACATTTTTTTTAGTAACAGTATTATATTACTAGGCATTATTAATTAACTAAAAGTTTATTGCCTTAGTAGGATTCTTAACTTTAAGTACTAAAAAATATAAATTCTTATACTAGCTATTACTGCGCTTAAGTATTTTTTAGTTTAACTTTATTTTTATTATATTAATAATAATTAGTTTAAGCTTTTTAAGGCACTAAAAGCTTTTTACCTGCTATACTTTATAAAGCACAGTTTAAATTTTATATAATAATTAAATATTTTAATATATTATTAATATGTTTTTAAAGTCTTAAGCTAGCGCATTTTTTTATTAAAATATTAGACTTTAAAATAGTTAAACTTTATTTAGTAGCAGATTTTTTTCTATATTTATTTTTACTAATTATTTAGCTATTAACTAATGCTTCTGCAGGAAGCTTACTGTCTTTTTTTTAAAAATATAATTATATAAATTTAAGTTTAAGCTTTTTAATAATACTTTTTTAATATACTGCACAATAGCTTTTTTTTTTTAATTTTCCCTTCTAAGCTTTATTAGCTGATTTAGTTAGGGTATATTAATAAGCCAAACTTTATTGCTTATTTTTTTATATAAGGTATTTACTTCCTTTAAATTTTTTTTACTTTTTAATTAGTACTACTTTTAACTTTTTAGCTTTTTAAAAAACTTTTAAAAGTTTTCTCTTATTTTTTTATATTTTTTACTAATATTTTTAGTTTTAAAAAAATTTTAATACTTTTAAACCTAAATTTTTAGGCAATTTTTTATTAAGCATACTTTTTTAATAGGCATACTTTCTATTTTTTTTTTTTTTTATTAATTATAATTAAATTAGCTATTAAAGCTAGATTGCACTTTATAAATAAGACTTTTTTTTACTTATTAAAGGACCTAATATAATATATAGTGCAGCTAAAAGTATTAAAGTAAATTTAAAGCTAGGCAGCTAAATACTAAAAAGTACTAAGTAGGATTGCCTTTTTTAACTTTTGCACTACCCGAAAATGCGTTAAAATTAGTATTTTACTAACTATAATTAGCACTTTATATATAGTACTAATAAAAAAGTTTATACTTTTATTTATAGTAATTATTCTTTACTAAAGCTTAATTAGTAGTTTTTTTTAGTTAAGTTTAGTAATATACACATTAAAAGCTTTTATAGTAGATAGTTTTATTATATTTAGCTACAAGCTTATATTAATTAAGGCTTAACTTATACTTTTATATAAAAATATCTAATACATAAAAAGCTAACTTTTAATTAATAGCTTACAGTATTAGCTTTTAATTTTTAGTTAAAGGTTAAATAGTAGCTGCAACTGCTCTTTAATATATCTATTTTTTTTATCTTTTATTTTATAATTTTAGAAGTTATAAATTTTATTTGCTTTTTTAGTATTTTTTAATAGCTTTTACTATTTATAACTAAGTTTTAGGCATAGCTATTTAAGTATTTTTTTAGTAATTACTTTTTTAAATTTTTTTCTACTTTTAATTGCAAAAGTTTTTTCTAAGCTTAATCCCTAGTTAAATATTTTCTAAAAACTCTTTTTTATTAATTCTTCTTTTTTAATATTTATAGTTTCTTCTAAACTACGCTTAAAAATTTAGAATTTAATAATAAGTTTTTACAAATTCTTAATAGCTTTGCTAATAGCTACTACTATAGCTAAAGTAGCTAGTAGATTTACTTATTAAAGTCCTTTTACTTCCTAATTAAGTATTGCCTAGGCTATTATATTTAAAAATATATTCTGCGCTATAGTTACTAAATTTTTAATAGTTAGTATTTAAATTTACTGCAATTTTTTTTATACCTTTATTGCAGGCAGTAGAAAAGTTTCTAAGCTTATAATTGCACTCTAACTATTTTTTATAGTTAGTAAAGTTATATTTGCTCTAAAGTATTTTTATAATAAATTTACTTAAGTATTTTCTATCTGCACTTTAGGTACTTTTATAATAGGCCTGTATTAAAAAAGCTTATCTTCTAAATTTTTTTTAATTAATAAAAAAATCTAGTTATATAGCTTACTACTTTTTATTTTTAGAACTATAACTACTATAGGCTTCTTTTTAGTAACCTAATTATTTTTCTAATACTGCTTTGCTATAGTTTTTTAGATTTTTTTATTTTTTATTTCTACTGCGTATAAACTAGGCTTAGTATTATATACTTTTTTAGTTTGCAATACTGTTTTTAGAAATATTATAATTTTTTAAAATATTATTGTTTACTAAGCTAGCGCACTTCTATTATTATTTACTTTAATATTGTAGTTTTTTTTACTAGCTAAAAAGCAAGTAATTTTAATTACTTTTTTATTAGCTCTAAACTAGCTTAAAAAAATAGACTTAATAGGCCTTTTTAGCTACTTATTAATAACTTAAAATTAGTTTTTTAGCAACTATAGTACTTACTATAATATTTTACTATTAAAAGCTTTTAGAGCAAACCCTCTGCTTAAAAAAATACTTTATATATTAGTTAAATAAAGTTTAAAATAGTATTTAGCCTAGGCCTAGCTACCTAGTATTTTTTTAGATCTAGTATAAAACTACTAATTCTTTTTTAGTAATTTTAAATTAGGGCAATTTGCTATTATATATATTTTTTTTTTTATAGTAGCAATACTTTATTGTAGTCTGCTTTCTGCTTTTTACTATTATAACTCTAGCTTAAAGATTAACTATAAGTAGGTAAATAAACTAAAAACTTTTATTATTTTTTTTAAAAAGCTTTTATAATTTTTGCTGCAGTTTAAGTACTAGCTGCTTATAAGCTTCTATATAGTTTTTGCTTAATACTAATACTCTTTTTATATTTAAATTGTTATTCGCAAAGAAGTTAAATTTATTTATAATAAATATTAGCTTTTTAAAGCTTTAAATAAAATTAACTATAGTAAAATTAATTTTTGCTTTAATTAGCTTTGCGGGTATAAGCAAGTAGAAAACGCCTAGTATAATAGCTTTTAAAGCTACTTTAATTAAAAGTATTAGTTTTTTTAAAATTTTTATATTTTTTTAAGCTAGCACCCTGCTTACTGCGCTGTAATTAGTAGTAAAAGTATTTAGTTTTTTTTCCTACTTTTAGTGTTTTTAAATAAATTTATAAATTTTTTTAATTTTAAAAGTTAATATATTTTTAAACTAAAAACAATTTTCTTTTAATATATAGTATATTACCCTATCTATATCCTCTTGGGCCAGTTTTTAAAAGAAAAAATAGTTTTTTTTAATTTTTACAACTTATTTTTAAAGCTAAGCTGCTAGAAAGTATATAATAAAGTTCTAATAGTACTTAATAATTTTAACTATAGGCTGGCGCTTCTAAACTTTGCTTATATAACTTTTAATAAAAGCTTAAGTGCTTTTTTTTTAGCTTTTATTTTAGCTTGTATAAAAATTCTGCAATTTTTACTAATATTTAGCCTAGCTTTTTTTTTTATCTTTATAATTTAGAAGCTTTCGGATAAATGCTTTATATTAAGTTTTATAAAAGTATAAAAGCTGCATTTTCTAAATACTTTTGCTTTATAATACTTAATTAGCTTTAAAATTATATTTTTTTAAAAACTTTATAATATTATGCTTTTTAAACTTTAGCGCATTTATATTAGTAGGCTTAAACTAGCCTTTATACTTAAAACTTATTTTTTGTAAAAAATGCGACAGAGTATTAGTACTAACTATATTATTTGCTTTAAATAATTAACTTGCCTTAAATTATTAGGAGTTTTAATAACGTATTAGTAATAAAATAGACTTTACTATTTTATTTTTTAAATATAAATTGTAATTATAATTTTAGCTTTACGCAAAATACTTAAGCAAATTAAAATAATTATTAATAGTTTTTTAAATAAAACTACTTTAAATTTTTATAGTAGTAGTATTTTTTACTTTTTATTTAAGTAAAGTATTTCTTTTATACTATGCGCTAATTACTGCCTTAAATAATAAGCTGCCTTAGCTAGGAGCGTTAACTAATACTTATTTAAAAATTAGTTTTATAAAAAATACTTTTTAAATTTTTTTTTAAAGTATAGTTATAAGCAAATTACTGCAAGCTTTTTATAAAAACTTGCTTTACTTTTACTGCACAAAAAGCCTTTAAATAAAGAATAACTACCTTAGCTACTACTTTAATAAATTTTTAAAGTTAGCTTAATACTTAATTTTACTTAACTTTAAGTATTAATAATTTTGCACTAAAGTTCTTTTGCTTTAAAATCTTTTAGTTTTTTTATAAATTTTTTTTTTTTTCTATTTTACTAACAGACTATTATGCGCCCCCTAGTTAAGTTACTAAAAATGTAGTATACTATAATGCGCATTTAAATAAAAAAAGTAGGCATTAACTTATAGTTAGTAGGACGTGCAATTTATATTTTTAGTATTTTATTTTAAGCTAGTATTAGTGCTTTTTTTTTTCCCTACTTATTTAAACTACAATACAGCCTTGCTGCCAAAGATATCTATTATATACTAACTTACTATACTATAGTATTTAGAAAGAAGTTAGCTTTTACTATAAAACTAGGGGGTAAAGAGAATAATAAAACCTAATTGCCTTTCTTTAATACCTAGACTTTTGCTATAAAAATAACTATAAAAAAAAGCAGGCGCAGGCTAAACTAAAAAACTTCTAGCAAAGTAATAAAAAAGTTTTTTTAGAATTTTTTATCTGCTTTAAGTAGCTTTTAGCCTAGAGTAGCAAGGCTAGATAGGACCCTAAATAGAAATTTTATAAGTTTTAGCATTACTTAAACTATATATTTTAAACTATTATTTTGCACTAAAGAATTACTTAAGTAAATTATTATACAGCAGTT